TCTATCTATCTATCTATCTATCTATCTATCTATCTATCTATCTATCTCAATCTCTTATCTCTGAGTATCTCATCTGTCTCGCTTATCTCTCTCCATTATCTATCTCTCTTATCTCTCTCACTTCTCTATCTCTCTTATCTCTCTCTTATCTATCTATATCTCTAGATATGGAGATACTTAGATTTTTTAAAACATTTTTGTTTTCCTTATTCTATCTTAGGCGCTTAAAGCCACTGGACTTCGCAGTGGAGATCCCCGCCTGAAGGAGTGCATGGACAGCCTCAAAGAGAGTTTGAAGAGGACTCCCGATGGTGTTACACTCGATAGGCACCTGTTTAAGAAGTAAAGCTCGCCACGTTTCTGCTTGGTCGTTGAATCAGCGTCTTGTACTTTAGCTGACATTCTTAGGATGTGTTTCCAAAGAAATGTTAGCCCCCCAGTGCGTTTCCACACGCATACTTTAATAGACAAATCCAAACTTGATTTAAATGATAGTTTTCATTCCAGGACTCATTCCAGGGAAACCGCTAATTACCCCAGTGGAAATGAAAATACTTTGTCCTTTCAAAAGGGAAGGTCATTACACTGTAATGGCCAGCCCTACCCTTTGTTTGTTTTTCGTTTCGATTCTGCCCATCAGAACATTCCGAACTGTTCTGCGTGGGAACTCTTTAGTCTTCCTTCCGTTTTTTGAAAATGCATTTTGGAAAAAAACTGCAGATTTACTCGCCAGCCGTTGTTTACGTGATTGGTTTGCTGTGGGTGCTGTGCTTTGTGGTGTCGATCCAAACGATCACCGATCATCCAGAAATGATCTTTGATCGAGTGACCGAGTGTGTTATAAGATGCGTCTCCATCAAAGGCCGCCGTCGGCCTCCATTGAAGTTTGTCAGACTTCACAGTTTGGAACTTGGTTGACAAACTTTTCCTGCAGTTGCATGCAGTCACTGTATCTCAGCATGCTGTTTGTGGTTTATTCATCAGGTGTGTCCAGAGCAACATTGTCCTGCTCACACAGGCCTTCCGAAAGAAGTTTGTCATCCCCGACTTCCAGTCCTTCACCTCCCATATTGACGAGCTTTATGAGAATGCCAAAAAACTCACTGGAGGACAGGTGTGTCCTGATATCCATAACTTTATTTTTTTCTCTCACAGCGCATCACACTTATTGTTTACTGCTTACGGTTTTATTACTGTTGGGTGGCTGTGATTGGTGGTTGGCGGACGGGGGCTTTTAACCCTCAGCTTGAAATGGGGCACGCTGTTCCGTTTGTGCCAGTCACAAGCCCGGATACGTGTGAAAGGAGTGTTAGGAAGGGCATCCTGAACCAAACTTACAGTGCCAGTCAAAGTGGGCCTGCTGTGTCAGGCCCGGGTGGGAGAAACCCGGCAGGACAACAAGAGCCCACGCGTGCACTCGATTTGGCAACAGGAGGAACTGGGGGCTTGGGGGGAGAGGTGGGGATGATCTTTCCCATAAATAAGAATAAAGGCCTATAAGACAACTCAAAACTCAAAGAAAAGACCACACAACATGTCACCAAAGTATTCTCCCCAGCACATTCCTCTCTGATGGTCACCAGCTGGACGTGGACCACAGATGAACACATAAACTGGGACACAGAACGAGGCGTCAGACGGACCGCTAAACATTTCAACACCATGGTGACACTGTGTGATGGTTCTATTGGCACACCTGGAAGAACTAAATGGGAGAATTAAGAGGGGATCAGCTAGATTTCCAGGTTACTAAACAAGATTGTTCTTCCACTCACCAGCAAATGGATTTCTGCCTTTTGTTTGCTGCCTTCTCTGTGGTTGCTATTGGTAACCATGAAATAACATTGATCATCTGGCTCATTTGAAAAAACACTTATGTTCCTGAGGAGCTCTGCATCGACCATTTATGCTTGAAAGTGTATACTTGTAGTATAGATCCTAGCCAATCCTTTAGAAATGAGACCCTCAATAACCATTTCCTGGATAGTTAGAGTCAAGTTGGCCTAATTTATTCTCATTCAGCCGACGTGAAAGACATCAGTTTCAATATGATAAAGCTATATGTGGAATTTCAACAATGTCGATGTACAACAGGAAAGCCTTTACTCATTTTTCAGGTTTTCACCGTGTACTTTAGTACTCAGGAGAGAGAAGGTTAACGTAAAATGCCGCTGAAGACTGGAGGAGTCTGAGTGTTTTGCTCTCTCATGTGAACCATAGGATGTCCGCTGCGCTGGTCTTATCCATGCGTATTGTGTCAGTGCAGGGTGGCTCTCCGCCGAAGCCTGAGCCCCAGCGGATGCCAGCGGCGTAAGGGGAACCACTCCTGGGTTGTCACACTCTCCCCTCTGTCTTGACTCTCTTTCAGGTTGCGGACTACATACCCCAGCTTGCCAAATTCAGCCCTGACTTGTGGGCAGTCTCTCTCTGCACAGTCGATGGACAGAGGTAAAAATAATCATCAGCTTGGCATGGTATTATAGTTAGCAGCTAGATACACCCTGCTGGAGGTTCTGGAGTCACACTCATTTTGATGAAATATTTACTAAATTCCCTCCATTTGGCTCTTGAATATGTTTTTTTTTTTAAATAATATATTGTATCTATTTTTTATTGATACAAAGACACCGTCATATGTCTGATATTATGATTAGGTTCCATGTTTGTCATATTTTGTGTGGAAAAGCTCTTGAAGGCCTATTTATTCAAAAGCGTGAATGTTCGTTTCAGTTTGTAGGGATTTTACTTATACGTTTTTGTATTATTCTGTGAGCAGAAGGAACTGTACATGGGCCACCTCTCATCTCGATTTGCAGCCTAAATCTGAAATCTTTATTAAAAAAAAACTATACATTTAAGGTTAAAAAATTCAGATTTTAAGTATTTCAGTATATGCTCCATTAAGGTTCTATATACACTAAGACATTTGGAGCACTGGTCAAACAAAGTTTAGTGAAAGTAAAACTTTTTAAAGCTTTTTTCCTTCAAAATGTGTTATGGAGAGATTATGACATTATCCAGTCCACTGCAGGTTGTTGCAGCAGAGATGCCGTGTTTCATGTACATCGACCCCCATTTCTCAGAAACACAAAACTGGTGCAGATAGATAATAATCTGAAATGTTGTGTCAAGGTTTCATAAGGTGTTTCCTGAAGCCTCCCTTCTGATAGGTTGTTGTAGATTTCCATTCCAGCGTTTTTGTGGAAAATAAGTCATAAAGATAACAAAAGCTTGTTATATAGCTGCAATTGTCCGTGGCTTGAGTTTATTATTCTTCCTAATGACTCATAAAGTATGATGAGCATATTAATAAAGGCTTAATTATTACATAAGTCCTCATATTTGGGTTTTGCTCTTGTCATTTAAACTGCAGCTGCCTTAAACACTCTTGTGATGTTCTTTTTTTCCCTCTTTCTTATGTAGGCACACAGTGGGAGACACTAAGGTCCCATTCTGTCTCCAGTCTTGTGTCAAGCCCCTGAAGTACGCCGTGTCTGTTCATGATCATGGCACAGAGTATGTGCACAGTTTCATTGGGAAGGAGCCCAGTGGCCTCCGCTTTAATAAGCTCTTTCTGAATGATGATGGTAAGATTTTGGTGCCCCCCCCCCCCGTCCTCCACCTTTACTTTAATTTCTATTTAATAAAGAAATTAAGATATATATTGTTTTAAGTTTAAAAGCTAACCTAATCTTTGAGTTGATCAATGATCAGTGTGGTGTTCACTGGCTCACAGCCATTCAAAAGTCAGTATTTCTTACTTTTTCATCTTCATCTTGATATGATTTCAACTGTAGGATGTAATTGCATTCCTCTGCTATAAAAAAAATCCAACGCCTCCCCTGCAATCTGCAAATGTGCAATTTATTCAAACCGCAGGAAAGCCGTAGATCGTTTGTTAAAGAGGAATCTCTTACATCCGGTCTTTTTCTCCATGTCACCAGCATTGCCTCTCTGACTACTAGATGAGGATTTTTAGGGCTGAGGCCGGCTAAGTTGCTGCCCAGCACTCTAAAGGACAGTTGTATTGTTGTCAAAGTGAGAGTTTTCACAGGAAGTCCGTTGGCTGGTACTTTAGTGTCAGACCCATTTTAGTCACATCCTGATCCTGAATCTTCTGCCAAGATATTAGACTGTTATGCAGTTGTGTGTAAGAGGATTACACAGTATGGAGGAAAAGGAAAAGGTGGAAGTGCTGTACTCAAACTTTATGGGTGAGAGCCTTCCCTCTAATCATGGACACTTCTCAGAAATTGCTACAGCTAAGTGAAAAAGACCCGAGTTCCCTGTAGCAGCAGGTTGTTGAACCTGTATGTGCAGTCACTGGAACTTGAAGATAAACGCTGAGTCCATTATGCTTGTATTTATTGACACTTTGTTAAAGGTAGTAAAGTAGTCCTCATGTGTTCCTTTGCTGATTGGCTAGGAGAAAACCACTCCCTTCTGGACCAACTAGAGCGCAACCGTTCTTTTTTTTTTTGTTTGTTGTTGCAGGCATGCTAAACGTCTTTAGTCAGTGTGTAGATATAATGTCGGGATCGTGTGCCAGGTCTGTCTGACACAGTTCCTTGATCCTCTACTACACGCTGACTGAGTTCTTGTTGTTCAACAGATAAACCCCACAACCCCATGGTGAATGCTGGAGCTATTGTTTGTACATCCCTTATACAGGTAAAGTCAGTGCCACTCCCCCCCCCCTCTTTTCATGTGTCCTTTTTAAAATCCACTGTGTGTTTGTCCCGTTCCTCTTAAACATTAGCTAGAGAATTCCTTGAATTAGGAATATCACTGAGCTGCTTTATCCTGTCAGTAAAATGAAGGTTAGTATAAATATTAGGAGCAAATGTGACTTCTGTGGCCTCAGAACATGCTTTAGTCTTTTACTTGTTTGAACACATCACAGATCCATTCAAAAATGTTTAATCATGAATCATTTAGTATTCATGATTGATAAATGAATGATGATTTATTGTATTAAAAGTGATGACTGTGGTATTCATTCAGCAAACTAACGATGCCCACTCAGTTCTGCGGTTCACGACTCTTGACTCAGCTTGAAGTTTTCTAGGTCACTGTCGCAGTCCATTGGTGTGCGTCTTGTTGTGCTTAAGACTGATAAAACTAATCCATTTGGCCTCCTCGGCATATGCGCTGCTATTAGACCAGACTGAAAATAGCCTGTACACAGAGCCACAACCCAAGCTGCAGTCCGCCTGTCACGACAGGAGCCACAACATCCCAAATGCTGTGTGCGGAATATGTTCAGAATGACACGAGTTCTCATATCCTCCAGTAAATCAATACGGCTGCAGCTCATAGTTCACTAGAACAAAAAGCTTCGTTGATAGGTTTCAAGCACCTCGTGGCTATTTATGATTATGTTACCATCTTAGGTTTTCTAACTGGACTGAGAGTATGTGTGTGTACGCTGAGGACAGACAGCTCTCCTGCTGTTGGCCAGCTGTGACACCATCTTAAACGTCTCTCTGCGTGTGTGTTTTGTAAAATATTCAATCAGCTTCTTTATGCCTCCTTGAATTGCAGATTTTTAAAAACATGTACTTTTTATTCCTATATTCATCTTGCAAAGCCACCACCCCCCTTTTTTAGAACTTTTGCATGGTCCAGTTCTTATATGAAAAAAGACATTTAAGGAAAGTCTTAGATTAATGAAAGTTAATCCTGTTTATTATTAGGATCCTCACAAAGCCATCTCCAAAACTATATTCAGATAATATATTTTCCTTTTATAAAGTGACAGGCTGAGGTGTGTGGCATGTTTGAGTCATTGCAGTAAAAAAGAATAATCCACAAAAAGATCAGTAGAATAGCTATTGTGTTGTGTGAAGTCAGCATCCTACGACATCTCATTCCCTCCTTTTTTGATGTATTTGAACTATGCTTCCATTTCATTATCAGCCTTAACACCTAACATTAAAACAGTGATGAATAATTTTGATCAGACGGATCGACTGAAGTCATGAAGTCCACTGACCCTGTGGTTAGCTGCCCGGCTGTAAAGCCTGCAGGTTGATGTTGAGTTGAAAAAAGACAAAGTCGTGATCTCAACACGTGGTCTTGCTGTTGTAAACCTAATGGTGCTCCCGCATTAATCTGCGATACTAAATGAGTGAGTCTCGGATTAGCAGTTCAAAAAGACTTTTTCCGAAAGTCTGCTTCACAGCACGTCATAAATGATCACAGAAGACGGTGATTGCTTTGGGTTATTTCAAAGAGCTCTCATAAAACCCCTGTTGGAGAGCTGCTAAAGAACCCTATATGCAGTTTCCAATAGTTTTATTTAGGTTTGATTTAAACTGATTTTTAACTTCATAAGCAGCGTTCTAGCGATAAACTTATCAGAAATTGTCATGGGGTCTTCCCTCTTTAGCATCTTTTAGCGTGTTGTTGTCATTTTATGCCCCCCCCATTAGAATAGTTACAGTTCACTCCCCTCGGTTCTTATCAGCAGCTGCAGCAGAACAAGTGAAAACGCTCTGATAAAACCGACGCATGCTTTATTTTCCCCCCACATCAACAACTGCTGACTTCCAAAGCTGGTAGATAGCTGGCAGACACGACGGAGCGTCAAGCAATTCAACAGCCTACAAATAGGTGAAAAATCAAGTCGAAATAGGAGTTGATACTGAATGAGGCTGAATGAAAAATACTTAATTTATCCCTGTGGGACATAACCGTCTCATAGCAGCTACAGCCCCGTACTCGTAGCAGTCAAGTTAGAGGCGTTTTCTGGAGGTCTGCTGTTGATCTATGAGGCAGAGACAAAAGGCACACCTGCCCGTTGCTTTTCCATCACACCTCCAACCTGTCAAACTGTGTGTTAAGGTGCATAAAGCAAAGCCAGGAGAGCTTCACAGGCTTAATTGTAACCCAGAGGATCTAGATGTTTATGTCTGCATCAACTCAACATTGTCTTGAGTGTCTATGATATGTCACTTTTTTCTTTTCTTTTTAAATCCATGCAATTTCCAGCCATTGGTTAGACTGCACAGTTGGATTTATTGCCTCGGTGGGAAAACTTTGGGATGGGTGCCCTGGCAGTATGCCCCAAACTGTTGTTACATGGTGCTTGAAGGCTACATGTTGTTGTTTTTGTATGTTGCATATTTTCCAGACTTAGGAACTGTGGGAAATAATGACTGCTGCTGCAGGTCAAATGACGTTGGTAATTTTTTCTTCCTTTTCCATATCTATCTCGTCACTCTCTCCCTATCCCCTGTTTACCCCTTCCCGTTCTCAGCCTTTTTTTCTCCTCCAATCAGCTCTGTAGAAGACCCATTTAGTGACACTTTAACATCCTGGTCAGGGCCACTTATTTTTCGTCCTTCCGTATTGTTTAACGAACACTTTGGACTCAAATGAATGAAAGCAATATCTGTTTGAACTCATCCAAAATTGCAATAGTTGAGAATTTTGATTGTGTAGCAAGAACTGCAACATTTCAAACTCTGTGGGTCTAGCCAGCTCGTGATCTGATAAGAAATCTACCGAGAGTCATTCCTCTTCTTCCTCCTCCTCCCCTTCCCTTCTGTTTGTCACATTATACTTTTTGACTCACTGTTGATGTACACCTTGAAACTCAGACAAGCACACATGCATTATTGTTACCCATAATGCAAAACACATCCCCATATAAAACACAAACACTTAAGGCTGTCACATAGCTATAAAGCAGGCACATATTAGTTTATGAAATTCAGACTTGAGTTCTGAACTCCAGTGCCATAGTGATTTGTGACAATATCTTTGACTAGCTAATCTGTTTGTTCACGTCTACTAAAATCCCCTCCCCCCCTTTAACTCCAGAAAGACTTTTCTCTTTGTAACCTGTTTGCAAGCCAATTGTATTGATTCATAGTTTATATCAAGCTGTTTTATTCCTGGCAAAGCTCATGTGATTTTCATATTTTCATTTGTAATAAAGTCTAATTGCATCTTCTAAATCCGTAGCTTCAATTTGTCAGCAGTCCCATGTATCATTATAGTATAAATTCTTCTTCTGTTATGCTTGTCCTCTGAAATCTCTCAGTGAAGGGACGCAACTAATTGCATTTTCTTGTTTTCTGCAGCAAGCTACAAGCAATGCAGAAAAATTTGACTATGTGAGTACCTTTACTAGCAGTTCTTTCTTTCTTTAGACACCCTGTGTATATAAATATGTATGTATATGTAAAATGCCAGGACAATGGGACAGGGCAAAAGTGTGTCATAACCACCAAACCTTTGTTTTTCTTCCCCTTTAGGTCATGAATTATCTGAAGAAGATGGCAGGGAATGAGTATGTTGGTTTTAGCAATGCCACGTAAGTGCCTCTGCGTTATGATTTCACATTTTCTTCTTTAATCTGCTGAAACAGAACTTCAGTCTGCTTTTTATTTGATTATTTATTTAAAACTCGATTTAACTGATAGAAGTCCAAAGAAAAGAACTGTTGGCCCATTTCTTATTTGAAATTATTATTTAATTAAAATAAATAAAGATGTGTATGTATGTTCTTTTCTTTTTTACCAAACATTTAGTTTGTGTTGTAAAATGTGCATTGAAAGATGTACAATAGCAAAGTGGTTTGGTTGGAAACAGGCGAGCAGCAGGGGCTCATGTCACCGTGTCATCACATGATTCTATGAGCACTCTAGCTGTACTGTACACGAGGGACATATAGGCATTCCAACAAAGAAGTACACACACACCCACACATGCACACACACCCCCCGTGCAAGTATTTCCTTCCTCTGTGTAATGGGAGTGCTCTGCTCTTTGTGTGACAGATTCCAGTCGGAGCGTGAGTCAGGAGACAGAAATTTCGCCATCGGGTACTACCTAAAAGAAAAAAAGGTTTGTTTATTCATGATAACATCTATGCAACAAAGCTGAGTTTTCTATTTATTTATTTTTATTTTTTTGTGGTCCTTTTTCCCCCACTCCATTAATGTTTCTGCATTAAAATGCACCACATTTAACATATTTTTATGGAAGCGCTTGTTAAGATTTGCCTTATAGTTTTCTCTTTGAAAAATCCGGTTTTTACTTTTCTCCACATGATCCCGCAATCAAACTTTTCTGTTTGACTTTAACGTTTATTAACTGAAAGACAATGGATGGCCTGAAGCCTGATAGATAACATTGTTAGCCATGCCATTGAGAGTTATTTAAAAATATGTTGGAAAAGGAGGCTGTGGCCATGCCTGTAAGCACTTTCTACACATGTAAACACACACACCCACACACACACCCGCTCAGTAAGTGAAGTGATAAATCCTTTTCTACTGTAACCGATAGCAATGATGGTGGATCAGCATTTAACACAGAATCCCTTTGACAAAGAACGTCCTGATTTTTTTCTTAGACACCCATTTACATTTACTTTTTAATCATTTGCAATGCTTTGTGCTATATCACACACATACAGACGCACATGGGCTCTTGAAATGCTAATGCTATCAGAACATTAGGCCAGTAGGGCTACATGCAAAGTTAAGGAAAGCCACAGTCAAAGCTCTGTAGTGCAGATAAGCTGGACGTCTGTGGTTGGTCCGCTATACAGGAAGGGTTTCAGAGCCAATGTCAAACTAGGGCTCCTCCAGAAAATGCCAAAGACATTCAGTTCCTTTGAACTTCCTCTACGGGGTGATCTTTCTACATGGAACCGGAGCTTTGAGGTGTTTGTTGGAACAGAGAGTGTCACTCTGTTACCAGTGGCTGGTAAAAGAGCCTGGTCACACGAGCCTCTGACCTTTTTCTATGCATGAAGCGGAGGGTTGTGATTGACATGTGATAGCGGTGTGATAAATCAAATGAGACCAAACACTTAAAATAGAGTTTGGGAGTCTTACTTTATTAAAGCGGTTGAACTGAAACTCCTTATGAGTGTGGATAAAAGGATAAAATAGACAGAAAACTCTGTCCTTATAAACCAGCTGGTCACAGTAGAATTTATAAAACATGTATTTGTCCTTTTCACAGCAGAGGGAAGCCGGTGATGGCATTTGATTTAAAAGCGTAGCAGAATAGCTTTTACTCCTGGCACAGGAGCAGATCCAGTGACTGAGGGAAGTCTTTGTTCTGTTAAAAAAAACAGTTTGTGCTGCATTTTCTACTCGGCTGACATTGGGGAGACTCCAGACAAAGCACTATTTTATTATTATTATTAAATTTACTACACACCTATGTGATAAACATACATACTTCTTTCTCTCCTTCCATTTAACTTCACATCAGTGCCTACACTGGGATGTCGGGACTTTATTGACCTGCACAGAACCGATTGTAGTGACTGTGAAACTATTTGAATGTACGGTTCAAAATTGCTAGAGAAAATCCAATTTGTTGGACACTTAATTTCATGACCTGTCTAATCTAATTAGCTCAACACCGGGGCAACAACAGGATAAAGCAGTTTCTTGATATTTATCTGCCCTTTTTTGTCCTACAGTGTTTCCCAGAGGGGACAGACATGACATCTGTGCTGGACTTGTACTTCCAAGTGAGTGTCATTTTTCCATGTTTATTCATCATTAATGAGGAAGTGTTGTGTGTCTGTGCTGCTTCTAGTCCTTTGCTAGTGAACATATCCTGGAAGATCATTGACCCATCCGCTATCCATTCTAAGCCCGCATCGGTTTTCTTGCTAATCTCGTCACAGTCCCTGCTGAAAGACAAGTGTAGCAAAAGCTAAAATGCCCTTTCAAACGTTTCCTTATTTTATGATCTTTTAGGATGGAAACGTGTTGGTGCAACAGTTTGTTTGGATTTGAGTCTTTTTAGCCTCGTTTCAGGCCCGCAGCGCTGTGCTGAAAGAGAAACAACAAACATAACCCCTCCCTTTTCGTCTGCCTCCAGCTGTGTTCTATCGAGGTGACCTGCGAGAGCGCCAGCGTCATGGCCGCCACCCTCGCCAACGGCGGCATCTGCCCAATCACGGGGGAGCGTGTGTTGAGCCCAGAGGCAGTGAGGAACACCTTGAGTCTCATGCACTCGTGTGGGATGTACGACTTCTCAGGACAGTTTGCTTTCCATGTAAGTCAAACCCCCGTTTGAGTAACCGGGAATCAGTCTCCTAAAGATGAGAGCCACTCGAGTTTTGATCCGTGTGTCAGAATCCAAATAGAAGTAGTTTTACTTGCTCTCTAATAGGTTTCAGATGGAAAACTGACTGCTGCTAATTGTTGTGAAACGTTGCATCTGAATGGGACATTTGTTTTCATCAGGCAGAGGGAGGCAGTCGTTACTCTGGCCACGATTGTACCGGCTAAATAATCGTGAAGTGTAAAGTAGAAGTTAGACAAATAGTAGCCATTATTTGCCATCCTTTGCTAAACTAACATCCCGCTGAACAGCGACACGCTTCCATGGAGGATTCACGTGAAAACAGCAGTAAAATGGCAGTAAAAATAACTTTTTGTTGTGGATACACACAGCTCGGTGTTTGATATTAAAACCGTTGAACTTTCCCCACTGCAGGTAGGACTTCCAGCCAAGTCGGGTGTAGCGGGGGGCATCTTGCTGGTGGTGCCCAACGTGATGGGCATTATGTGCTGGTCGCCCCCTTTAGACAAGCTGGGCAACTCTGTCAGAGGAATACAGTTCTGCACGGTAAGGCGTTTCCAGAGGATGTTTAACCATCCACGACTTTAAGCGCTTAAATTGAAAGTATGGTTTGCATCACACAAAGTGGAAAAATACTGTCATTAATGATTGGCAGTTGTTCAATAATCTGGTTTCCGAACCTGTTTAATAAGTAAGTGATGTTTGGCTAATGATTACTATCAGTAGGTCTGAGTGCAAGCCTTAGTCAGCCACAGATGTTTTCATCAGATGTTTGAAAATCTTGACTTTCTCCGAATTTTCTGACTTCTACTTGAAATAGTGATGTTTAATGTTCACGAGTCACCGCCCCTTCATTTTCAGGACCTGGTGGAGCTTTTCAACTTTCACAACTACGACAACCTGAGGCACTTCGCTAAGAAGCACGACCCTCGCAGGGAGGGAGGAGACCAGCGGGTAAGAGGCACAGCTCAGCACTGCTCTTTTAAACCTCTTTACTCGGGTGAAAGGGAGTTTCCAAACAAAAGCGCCGCACCTCTTCACAGCTAACACTCGGGCGCATTTTGGGATGAGGAGCGTGCTCTCACCCGCTCGTTTTCTTCTGCTCACGCCAAACATTTTTCAACAAGGGTGTGGGATTTTACAGCTGCACCCGCTAAGTCAGGTGCGTGCACGACTCTCTGCCGGGTGGCTGGATTTGCTTCTCTGCGTGAGCACTTATCATACTTGGAAAGGCTGCAAACCTGCACTAACCTGCAACTAAAACCAGTGATTATCGCGAGAGCTTTTGGCTGCGTTAAAAACAGAAAACACACGCACACACACACACACACACACACACGCTCCCCAAAGACCGAAGGCCATGAGACTAATTTGTTGTTCGTGTCAATTGAAACAGCAGCACTGCTACGGACCCATGGATTATGAGAGCCTGCAACAAGAGCTAGCTCTGAAAGCCCCTCTGTGGAAAAAAGTCTCCCCCACTGAGTCCGACCAGGACAGCTCCACCACTGTAGTCTATAGGATGGACAAAGCCGGCAAGTGAGGCTAATGAACAGAGCCACCCCCCCCCAGCTCGCCCCGTCTGTCGCTCAGCGCCATCTTCCTTCACCCTCCAGTATTTATACAGAAATTAAGGAGAGGGTTATTTATTGATTTCAAAGCGAGATGGGGAAAAAAGGTGTTTGTTTCTTTTTTGTTTGTTTGTGCTGGAAAAAAAATAGGATGAACTTTTGTTTGTTTCGCTCTGAATTCTCAATGAGCCTCCACCTGTTAGCTGCCTCTGTGTGCCTGGGATCTGATGTACAGTGTACAGGTTGTGCTCGTGCTCCTTTTCGAGTCTATCTTTTTTTTTTTTTTTTTGTCGTTTTGTTTCGTTTCAGCGTCCTTTTAATGACAAGCTTTTAAAAACGCTTGCATGTGGGGAGCCCGGGTGCAGCCTGAACTCCAACCAGCACCAGTTAAACCCACTCAGACTTGCACTCAAGTGATCTTTGCACAGAAATGCTAATGCAGACGTGCATTTCCCGTTTGTAAAGCGAAAGGCAGGAGTTTGTCGACATGTGTGTGGGTGCCTGGGTCCGAACGCAGTGGCTCCCCTCTCCAAACATGAGCCCTGAAGGGTTTTTTGTTCTTTCAGTCTTGCTCATTCGATCTGAAAAGCAACACAGAGAAACTCAAACCAATAGTTTTATTTAGCTCTTGTTTTCTTTTTGCTTTTTGGGGGAATAGCATTTAATAGCAGTCATTTAAATCATTTTGTAATACAACAACAGTTGTGCCTCCCTCCCTGGAGTAATGGGAACTTTAGGAACAGAAAGAAAAGGCTGACAAAGATTCAGTCAGAGATGAGAGAAATCAAAAGCGATCAGACACAGATGTGCTCGCACAGCGCGCCCCCAAATAATGAGGCTGGAATAGAGTTTGCTCAGAGGGAAACACATGAAACACATGAAAAAGGATTTGTTGATTAAACTAATGGGGTCACACCTCAAGGGAAGATGGATGACTCATCCTATCTGACCCTGAAAGAAAGTTTCTGAAATTTATATCAGCCGACATACAATCGTATGAATCCTTTTACTTCTGTGGGCCTAAAATTAACCTCTGGCCTCCACTAAAAGCTTGAACAAAGGATAAACTCTATCAAAAGAAATGAGACAATCATAGTTCCCCAGGCTGAATTCTGGTTGGCTACATTACAATTCCTTGAACTTATGAATTATAAGTCTTGCAAACAGTGATTCCTCTTAGGTGAACTTTTTTTTAAACGAATAATGATGTTTTTTCTTGGAAGAAAAAAGATTTTAAGTGTCGAAAGCTCAGCTGGAAGAGCGCGAATTGGGATCGCAAATAGAAATGTTAACTAAGAGAGCTAAACCATGAAAGCGAAATCAGTGTTTGGTACACTATCTGGTCGATACCCTAAAAGTGCATTTTGATCTTCAATGCTTTTTCAGTGTTACTTAAAGTATTTTCTAAGGCTTTGAATTATGTTAGGGCGGCTTGTGTTCTATAAATATTTAACCGTGAACCTCTGAATGTACATAGCGACAGGTGTATAAAGTTTTTAGGCGTGCGCTTGCACCCGGGTGAACACTTCAGACGTTCCAAAACCACCGGATCCCATTCAGGAAAACACTCGTGTGGATGTCATGCCAGTGGAGGCCTTAATTATCTCTCTGGGAGGGCAGCCGGAGACAGATCTGCCCGGGGGGGTTCTCTGTCATGTCGGTAAAAGTCTTATTTTCTGTTACAGTCCGCTCAGAGTTTTCTGTCTTTCTCATTAGTCAGAAACAGTCCGAAAGCCGCGGTCGCAATCGATGCTACTTATCGAGCTGCTCAGATCCAGTTTTGTTGCCAGATTTGGTTTAAGCTGTTTCAACAACATAAATAATGTAGGCTTCAACTTTTTTAGGTATTTAAATGAGTTTTGTTTTTATTCTATAACCGTTCTAAATAGTTACACTTGGTAGTTCTCCATCTTTAGTTGTGTTGTTGCTGGTGAAGTCGACAACTCCCACGCAGTGCTGGAGGCGTTCCAGAGAGCAGCATGTCTAAGGAAACTAAACCCCGAAAACCAAAGCATGCAACTTTCAGTCACTTTGTCAGTTAATGCCAAATATATATTTATATTTTTATGGTGTTTTTTTCTGTGTTATGGAGAATTTGCTGGCTCAACAATTTAAAAATGAGTGAAAATAACTGCACTGAATCAAGTTCCTGAAAATAAAAGTACAGGTTTAAAGTGGTTTGGTCCTGAGCAGGTGGGACCAGCAGTTGTTATCCGTATTTAAACGTGGATTTCATTTACAATTCAGTCCGATCGCCTCAGAGATTAAAAAAAAAAGGAAGTCAACCCACTTCTGTTGAACCTGCTCGGAAAACGTCTCGTGACCAGTGACTTGTGGCTTTTCTGACATAAGAACCAGACCACATTTACACCAGACTGGTTCATTTTTTTCACACGGGATGAGTCAGTGTCACGCTGACTAAGAGTAAGAAAATAAATTATTATTTAGGTCATTTCACTCATTCAGAAAAGTTAATATATATTCAGTTAAATGAAAAATACTTTATTTATCCCAGAGGAAAGGAGAGCTTAAGGAGATATTATAGATTGTGATCTCTATACATTTCTATCAATAGGAATGTATATAGATTTCTATATATGGAAACTTCTAGTCTGAAATCTGGGGGGTTTTCTCCTCAAATTGTGTCGTGGTATTTTCTTTAAGAGAACCAACTGAGTCTGTCTTTGACTTCCTAAACTACAGTTTTTTATTTCTTTGCTGCTACTGAGTCGGTGGTCCTCACCAGACCAAAAACGATGAGCTCAATAAACATCTTCTCAGCTGCTCTGCGTTCATCACCCCACGCCACGCATTTAGCTTTGGTACATCAGGGAGAAGATAATCCTCCTGTTACTGTGAACCTCCATCACCTCCAAAGATATTAAAACTAAAGTGTGTGTGGGGCTCTTTGAATTTTTCACTGTCATTTCTGTGAAAATCATCATTTCGTGTCATTTTATGGGTTCATTTCTCCTCTCAGCTTCCATCTTGCATGTCTGGTTTTGGAAGGACTTGTCCTTTTGATCCTATCCTTTTCTTTGTCTTTTGATTTTCTTCCCTGTCATTTGTTTATGACTATGTGTGTCCTGACGATGCATTTTTACCCTTTGTAAATTGAAACTTGCATATGATTTCTAAAGTGATCACAGCCATTGCCCCTCCGGTGATCTTGGAATTGTAAGCGTCTCCAAAGAAAAAAGCTAACTCAACATTTAAAAGAAGATGAAGTGATTATGTATGCAAGAAAAAAACACGGGAGATTGAAACTCTACAATTCCAAGTTCATGCCTCTCAAAGTTTGAATGTTTTAAATTCTGTATCAAAATCTCCATAAACTCATGTCCTGTCTGCTTGTTTTACCATCGATTTGTGTTCAGACATGAGTTTCTTCAGCTGTTACGGACCTTCGGCCATGACAGCAACGGCAATGTGACTTTTTGTGTGTTTTTTCGTTGGTGTCCCTTGTGTAAAATCAAATAAAGCACTTATCCATCATCTGTTTGTCTGTGCCCACACATTTTCTTCAGCAACCACATTTTACTTCCAGAGATGGATTCTGTCTCGTAGACTGGACGTTTAAAAAAACCTGCCAGAGTGTCGATTAGTAATCAAACTGACGGCCGGAGGGGATCATTAGTGAGCCGTTTAGTAAAAGAGGAAAACGGTTGTGCTTCCACAGGGGATTCACTCGCTTGTGTTTGTTCAAATATTCGATTGTCTCTTTGAATTTTTTAGGATTAGAACTCAGGTGCCCAACCTCTAAACCGTGAAGTCCAAAATAAAAGAGAAAATTATTTTATGGTGTCAAACATTTCCTGTGTCCCAGCATTAAATCCGTCGTTGGGAAATATTGTGCATGTGGCCCAAAGCCCCTTTACAAAGCAGAGGAGGGGTCTGTAAACTGTAGAGAGAGGCTGGAGCGTGACAGGACTCTTATCAGATCTGGCCCTGGTTGTTGTGTTGACATTTTCTGACAAACCCTCAGGTGCTCCACTGCGTATAACACAATGTCATATCTTCAAAATCTGGTGTGTCAGAAGCATTTGCACCACAGCAACTTTCCACATATAAGACACAGAAGACGGTGGAGGGAACTGTCTGTTCTCGAAGGTTTAAATGCTAAAGGCTCATTCCGCGCTGAATTCTTTCAGATGAAAGCAGTTGCATATTGCAAAGAAAAATGAGGATGCAATATATCATCACAAAGATATGCTGGGGCATGTTTTGTGCTCTTTGTCGAGTCGTGTAACGAGGCTAAAGTCAACATTAGTATTTTAGTTTTAGAATGTCAGGTTAGTTAAATCTATAGTTGGTACAGTTGAAAAGATAGATGTTTTTTAATGTACACGTATTTTACATTCAAATAATCTATCCAATGTGTATATACATGTTTATATTTATAACAATGCAGCAAAATGCAACATCTTTCAGGTTTGTTCTGGTAGTTAGAGCTTTAACGATGGCTGTTGTCGGGTTGCATGGTAAAATAAAAAGCAGCATATTCTTTTTCATTTTCTTACACTGATGCCTGTAACAGAGCACAGCAGCCTGACTTCCAGTGTTCCTTTATTCAGACCTTTTCCAGTTTGTTCAAAGGAAGTCAGTTCTTACCCTCGGATGGTAAGTCTTGAACACAGCCGGGATTCCCGAGCTTGAAGCTTTTGTTAGTGATTCAAATTAGAACAACTTCCCCTGTGCAGAGATTTCCGTCTTTTCATGCGTAGAATGAATACTTGGTAAATGTGATTCTGAGGCCGTGATGGCGGAGGCATGACTTCAAGATCCCTCTGCAAATGCTCTGTCTCTGTGCTTGAATTTGTCCTCAGGTCAAGTCCGTCATCAACCTGCTATTCGCTGCCTTTACGGGGGACGTGTCTGCCCTCAGGAGGTGAACAGCTCACGCACACACAGCTTTAAACACCTTTCAATCACAAGAGCAGCAGGACGGTTCCTGGTTTGATTCCTTTTTTAAGTTTGCATGTTCTCCTCATGAACGCAGAGTTCTCTGGGTCCCCAGGATCCTCTACTATCATCCAAAAACTTGCATTTTAGGTTAAACGTTGACTCAAATGGAGTCTCATAGAGAGATGGAGCTGACTACTGGTCTATCACAGGGCTCTGGATCCTGCCTCTCACCCAATCACAGCAGAGTTCTCCAGCCTCCCTGTTACCCTGTCCAACAGGAAATGGTTGACTGGATCATTTAGCACTTTGCTGACCTCTTTTGGCAGCAAGATATCTTGCAAAGAAACTGAAAACAGGTGCATTAATACCCAAATAAATGAATAAGTAAAGACTCTGCTAATGATTGATATACATATAAAATATAAAAAAGTATTATATATGTATATATATATATATGTAGCCCTACAGAACATTTTTTATGACAAAATATTCTAATATCAGTTGTAGCCCAAACACAGTACAATGTTGTTTATCGCAACATTATTGTTGAAAAAGAAAATAATCAAGATATAGCAATAGCCCAGTCCATGAAAGACTGATCGCATTATAGCAAACCAATTACCTTAAATTATTACTTAAGGTTGCTACATGGGATTCTCAAGTTTACTTAATCATAAGATACATTTAGTTCACCATACAGCTTCTGTTATTTGTTTATTTCAATGACCCATTGTTAAATGTAGGTTGTGACTGTGTCATTTTTGGGCCTGGTAAGAATCAGATGGATTTTTAGTTTTATTTGCGTTATCACTTCGGTGTGCACATCTATTTTTACAAGACTATATTTGCAAAGAGAGTCACGGAGGTTTTGTTTTTGTAAGGTTTGCTCTTTCATCCATGGACATGGAGCAGAGGGACTACGACTCCAGAACGGCCCTGCACGTGGCGGCGGCGGAAGGTAAAGTAGAGCCTCCAAAAACCACCTCAAAAGACACTCAGACACAATGCAGGTGGACTCACAGCTAGCAAACGCTCTCAGATTAGCGATGCCTCTGCTTCCAGGTCACGTAGAGGTGGTGCGCTTCCTACTGGACGCTTGCAAGGTCAACCCAGTTCCCAGAGACAGGTGAGTCCGAGTGACCACGCGGCCAGAAGCAGCCATTTTTAGTTCTTCCCGTTTGCTCTCTGACTAAAAAAAGAATATACTCTTCTCGTTAAGATGGGGCAACACACCAATAGATGAAGCTGTGCAATTTGGCCACCACGACGTGGTCACCATCCTGCAGAACTACCTGGACAAGTACAGTCCACCTGCCGACCACCAGGACAAGGACAGCCCAGAGAAGAGCCTGGACAGCCTGCTGTAGTCCACATAAGTCCCACCTCGGGCTTCTGGGACCAGTGGTGATTTGTTTAGCTCCGCCTGGTGTCCTTCTCCTTTCGTTGCTAGCATTTATGACAAAGTTTAGTGTGTGGTCTCAGTGAGCAGCTTAACATTATCGTTGAATATCCGTGATATTTGCCGTCAGTTATTCCAGTATTTCTCCTTAGTATACAGATTATATTAAATATGTTAGTTTAGGGGGATACTCATGTTGTGTTGGTATTGTGAGATTGTAAGTTGTGTGGAAATGAAGATGTTTTTCTGTTGTTTTCTTCACACGTACCTGCAGTTTACCTGTAGACTGACTGGTCTACTGTTTAATCTCCTTATGCCAGCTCTGTTCTCAGTAGTTTTCCTGAATGTTGCGAGATCATCGGCATATTTTGAACGGCTCCTCTAGAGGAAGTTAGAGGACGATTGTATTCTGAATGTATAGACACATTACATATTAACTTAACATGGACTACCAAATGTGGAATTCGTTATTCATCCATTCACTGTTGCACGTCCACACGCTTTGTGTTTGTGTGTGAGTTTGTATGAAAAATAGCAATGCTTGAAGAAGTGTTTTGTTTTCCGAGAGCTTTCCTAAAGTAACATTTCCAATTTAGGTTTCATTAAAAGGAAAATTGATATTTATTAGTTATCAGTTTGTCAAACCCAAACAACAATAAAGACATCCTGAACAATTCAGCTGAATCAGAAATGCTAAAAATATGGTTCATAGTTTATAATCTTTCAATTTCTGCCTTTTTCTTCGAAGGCCCACTCGTGGCATTCAAATTTAGTCCTGATTGAGTTCTCAGATATGTTCAAAGAGCTCAAATCTCAGTCCATCTCGGTTGTGTTTCGGTTTGATGATTGCGAGGTAAAGGTTAGAAAATGCAGCTATCGTTTGTTGTTGTCTTTTTCAAAAAGCCGCTAAACAGCCTGCAGGGTTTTTTTTGTTGTCTTTTTTGGGGGGTTCTTGTCTTGTTTTAAAACAAATGATGGACCAACTCTGAATGAAACTGGACTGGATGTGTGTTACTGCAGAATGTTGTGGTCGTGATTCTGGTTATGTGAGATTTCTTCTTTTGAATAAATTTCCTCACAGGCTTTCTGAGAACCCCACACCATGACACCCCCTCCTCCATGTTCATTGTGGGATATTCTGTTTCTTAAAAAAGGACTTGGAGTCCATGTTGTAAGTCTCAGATGTGACTCTGAGTGGAATCGCTTTAATTGATTCCTGTACCGGTTTTTCTCTAAGTGGTGATTTTCTAGCTGCAGATTGACCACATAAGCCGGATTCACGCTCCTCCTGAAAGATTTGTTGACAATCTTTGATTCTGGTCTTCTTCTGGGACACCCCTTTATGAGAGTCATCCAGTTTAAAGCTAACGTCTTGAGGTTTTCCGCAAGAAAAAGGCAATGCCTTTGACATCTGAGAGTTATTCAACCATTTTTTGCTGTTTTTTTGGGGTGGGGGGTCACCACACAACACATAAACATTTCCTTAGTCTGATTTTTTCTTGTTCATTTCACTATGATAAGCATCAAATCTCAAAAGTTGCTGCATTGTGTTTTTTATTGAATTTTTTTATGTAGAGAAACTACATTATTTTTCATCTTCAGAGTATTTTATCACAGTAAGATGCGTTTGAGGGAAGTGTATTTGACCTGTAGCTTATAGGTCTATAACACAAGTCATCGGATATTATAAGACTGCATAGTCACATACAGGAATGAACACATAAATCATGTTATTATCCTGCATAATAGTTTCTGCTGAGTTACTACATGTTCTATAGTCTATAGTAATAGCTGAATGAGTTAGTGGTGTTTCAGCTTGGCCCAAAGTGTGAAGGCACCAAACCTCCATTTCTGAGAACACGTAAGCTACATAAACAAAAACTGAAGGACAGACATTAGAAATAAGAAAATCTCAGTTTGTACCAACATATTTTGTATTAAAACATCTAAATAACAGGGGACAAAACAATAGTTCAGTTGTTTCCTAAAAGCAAATGGTGATGGATAAACAGCTCAGAGACTGTAAATGCTCAGATTAAATGTTTCCCGTTCTATGAACAAAGTCCTTTAAATGTAGACAAGACACGAGACCAATGAAAATGCAGCTGTAGAGCAGATTGAACTTTTTATGATCTTCACAACTGGACAAAAGAGTTCCAATGTCAGAGCTCTGTTTGGCCAACTGTCAGGTGATAAACCTTTTTGTTTGATATATAAAAATATAGCTTTGAAATATATTTATTAGCTGAATCGCGTTTTCTAAAAATCTTTCAGCCCCTGTGTGACTTCTCATTTGTTAGGTGAAGGTAATAAGAATATGTTGCCTTCCATATAAGGAACTAATCGCTGGCAATAAAACATTGCCATATTTCAAAATGTAAAATGACTGTTACAGTGAGTCAGCACATCCACCTGGAACTCCTCTGCTTTGTTCACAAAGGCAAAGCTCTGATTGGCTACCGAGTGCTGGATGAGCAAACAGAGACCTGAGCGAGGTCTGGGAGAGATGCTCCCGTCGGGTCCACTCAAAAGCAAGAATCCACCCGGGTGAGAGTGAGAAACAGGAAAACACGTTCTTCTTTTTTATTCTGAGGGCTAGAAGGATGTGCTGGACAGTTCTGCAGGTGCTGGCCCTTCTGAAGCTGACCGCTCAGTCTGCGGCCGAAACCGGGTGTGCAGGGGACCAGCGGTGCTTCAGGGGCTCCTGCTACGAGTTTGTGGGGCGTGAGGTGTCTTTTCACGATGCCCAACACTGGTGTGAGGACCGGGGAGGACATCTGGCAGTCATCCCTGATAAAGGAACCCAGCATTTCCTGGAGAGACACCTGAATTTTAAAAACGACACGTGGATCGGACTGCCATTTTCATCCTCTTCAAAGCAACAATATTATTTTAATGATGGAGGTAAGATGGCTCACATGTGGAAAAAAAAGAGGACGCGCTCATATTTTAAAAGCAGATACCAAAACAACAATAGATTGTCAGAAGTAAGAACATTTTCAAGCTTCTTTCTACTTTTTTAAAACCTCACTCAAAGTTGAAAAAGCTTTGCAAGCTCTACTTTCTGACATTATTTCTACTAAATATGTTGAATGCATTTTAACTTCAGCCTGGTTGAGTTTCCTACTCATCTAGCTCATCAAATATTTTTTTAAATAACTCTTTTGTGCTTTAACCGTTGTGATATTGGCAGTTTGAGCTTGTTCTCTTGCTCTTGGGCTTATTTTCATTGAGTTTAATTGAAGGAAACAATGTCTTTACATTGTCCCAATCATTTGTTTGGTATTAATCACTTTTCCATTCATGACAAATTGACTTGTGTCATTTGCAGCAAAGCAGACACAAGTTCTTTTTTACGGATTTCATAAGGTTTTGGCTTTTATGATTCTTCTATATCAAACATATTTTTTTCTCCAATTCTGCTTTGGTCTCGTTTTCCCTCTGCACACATTGTCGAACTTTAATTTGACAGGCAGCTACGTTAGCTGTGGAGTTCTGAAGGCTTGGAAATTCTCCTGTAACCTATGTCAAATGTATAGAAATAAGCCAAGTTTTTTAAGTTGACCCTCTGCGTACATCTCTGGTTTTAGATTAAATGGAGTTCCCTCTTATACCCAGTTGTCATGCAACTGGTTGATAACTTCTGTTTAACAGCTCACAGACTCTATCCAGTGTAATCTTGCTGCACAGTAAAACATTTCTGTGAAATAAACATTAATACGATGTAAAACAATGACATTAAAAATCTGAAAAACAATGAATCAGGGTATATTTAAAAGGAATATATTGTAAAAAAAACAAACAATGAATGAACAATGAAAAAGATCATATTTCTTTGTAGAATTGATATGTTTGTGTATTATAAACATAAGAAATTTGAAATACTTGAACGCAATACAGTTAAATTTACAATTTTGCTTGTTTTAAAGAGCTAGAATAAATAGTATTCAATTTTACAAATTCAGTTGTGATTTACAGTTAAATGCTGTAAGCCTAACTATGATAACATGAAGAAATTGAAGTACTGATTTTAAGTCAAATTGAATGGGATTACATATAAAATAAACAATGTACATTATATAGGAAAAAAATACTTTAATAAAGACATAGTCATGCTAATTTGGCTGTTTACCAGTTTAGCATGTACATTTATAATGTAATTTTGTAAAGGATTACAGTTTTACATTGTAAAATGCACAGGTTGTTCTGTAATGTGTTTTACACAATGCTGTATTTTTTACAATATTGTTCTGGCAACAGCAGCTGCCAGTTATTTTCTTAAAACTACAGGTGTTTTTTTCTTAAAAATTCAGGTGTTTTTTCTTACTGTGTGTTTGTACACTAAATTAAACAGGTCCCCAGTCCTGGTGGAATGGTTCACATGTCCTCTATTCTAAGCGGGCGGGGGCCGTTTGTGGACACCTGTCGGGGAACCTGAGCTTCCACTGGGAGACCACAGGAAACTGCACCAAAAAGAAAACCTTCATCTGCCAGTTCAGTGAGTGTTCTGAGTCCGATCTGAGGGAAGGAGCACACATAGTCTCTGAATGACCAGTTTAAAGTGCTTTTTTTTTGTCTCAGAGTCCAGGAGAAGCGTCGTGTTTCCGGGAGACAGCAGAACTCTGCTGTGCAGTTCTGGTCAAACTTTAATCATAGACGGGGGCTTTTATGGGCACAAGAACCGTCCATCCAGGCTCTCCTCACCCACAGCCACTCAAGATGAGTGTGGCTGGGTTGATGTGCTGGACTCCATTAAAGGTACAAGAAAATCTCAAACCGGTTCAGGAATATTCATTAATATGTCACTTTACTCATCTTATCTCAACTATATGAATCTCTTCACATTATTCTTCTGAACGAAATAGGAAAACAAACATGCTTTATAATGTACTGCACTAATGGGAGGATAATAATGGAATAAAATGTTTGTTGAAGGTAAAACGATTGCACTAAAGAGCTGCTACCTATTCTTTGATATAGTAATGACCCATTAGGAGATTTTCTAAAAAAAAAGAAGACACAGATCACTCTACAGATACATAAATGATCCCCATCTATTCAATTTAAAACATGTCTTCATGCGTTTTCTAACAAAAGCAGAGTATCTATTCACTCATTTTCCAAATGTACATGTTGTCTCAAAGCACGGCAGCTTTTCCCCGCAAGCATGCTGAATACATTTGGGCTCAGTTTACCCGGGCAAAATAAATCCAAGACAATAGTCATCAATCCCAATGTAAAGAAGGGGTTTTTAAACCATTTGTTAAAAAGGTTAATGGACTGCAGTTATGTTGACCTTCTTTAGTCTTGTTCAGAAAAAGTCCTTTACACCACAAGTTACAATATCCTATTTTATCTTATTATTTCTATTTCCTCTAGTATTTACTCAGCTGGACTCCATTATTGTGTTTGGATTTCCATTAGGTTATTCAGTAAATGGTTATTTTTGTCGTCAGACTGGGTGAACGGTGCAGCAGGTAACCCGTCTCCACTTCCTGCTTCATTGTTGTGTTATGCTTATGGAAAATGACCCGAAAAGAGTTTAACCGAGTCAAGCTGAGTAGCGCTGAGTCAGAACTCATAAGTGAAACTGACTAGGCGCTATTTACCTGAAACAATAGAATGGTCTGGCTTTCCTTTTGGTCTTCAGTCCAATTCTTGCTCCATAATTAGTTTATTTTCTGTTTTAGTATATACACGGTTCCAGTGACTGATTGTCACTGCTGTTCATATTTTAATTTACTACATTTACATTTACGCATTTAACATAAATAAAACCAGAACCCAAACCAACCAACAGCTTTTCTCCATATTTTTTAGCATGACTCATGTAAAACGAAAGCCTGCGCTGCCTTGTGTTTTGCAGGATTGTTATATGAGAAACACATTGTTGTAAAAAGCCTCTCCATTCTCATTATGTTTCCCCCATTTTCTTTAGATATTTGTCAAGGAAGACGGGTCTGTCAGCTGACCAGGGTGGTGAACTCTGTCAGAAAACTCTGTCCTGAGCCCAGCAGATACCTGACTGTTCACTACCGCTGCGTAGAGGGTCAGTCACTCATGTTTTCTCACAGGACACACAATTGACAAACCCTCCAACAAGCTAGTCTCTTTCAGAAGACAACTACATTACCCTTACATGGGAGGAAGTCTATTGAAGACTCTGTGGTTCGCTCATTTTGTACCTCTAACATCCATCAGTTGTCCATACCGCTCATTCCTATGTGTGTGTATGTGTGTGTATGTGTGTGTGTGGGAGAGGGGGGCCTATATTAGTAAATGACCGGGGTGTAACCTGGATCTCCAGTTGGTCACAGGGTCACACACAGACAAGCAACCACCCACATTCACGTTCACTCCTTTAGAGTGTTAAAACAACCTAACATGCACGTTTTTAAATTGTTGGAGAAAACTGGACTATCAGTTTTAAAAAAGCTTTAAGCTGGAGAAGTGTTATACACAAATGCTGACATATTAGTTCCAGTAAGGTACAAGCTACACACTTTATTACACACTTACATACTAGACTTTTTATGTCTTCATTGCCCATTTTTGTTATATTGTGATGTGTATTTTAATTCACCATTTCAGTTGTCTTTTGTGATGAAAAATCTTGTTAGTTCTAATTTGTTTTCCCTTTGGCAGTCGTACATTTCAGGCTATCCCATATTGAATATTTGCCTGAATAGCATCCATTCATCAGTTATCTATACCGCTTATTCTCAGAGGGTTCGCTGGGGGCTGGACAATGAGAGGCGTGGTCCACCCTGGACAGGTCCACCCAGTCCATCATAGGCCACACAGAGACACACAACCACACACTTACGTTCACTGTTGGAGGCAATTTCGAGTGCTCAGTTGACCTGGCGTGCATGTTTTTTCGCGCGGGGAGAAGGCCAGAGGGGGGACACAGGGAAAAGACACAAAATCCACCCAGAAAGGCCCAAGTTTTTGGGGATTCGAACCAGGAACCCTTTTGCTGTGTGGCAAAAGTGCTAATGGAATAGCCTGAACAACTCATATTTTACCCTGGCATGTCTTAATAGAAATCATGATATTTATATTACTGTACATGTATATATTACTAATATATACCTTCTAAAGATTGTGATATACTTGGCTGTGTGTTTATTTTACAGAAGAATATCGGATCATGCTGCTGTGTTAAATGTGTTTAGTCTGTTGTGACGATATGCTATATGATATTTTCAAAAGCCATTTTTTTGTTTTATTGAACCTAAGTTAAGTTCCTTAACTAAGTTCCTTAGTTAAGGAAAGTTTTTCAATTCAGGACTGGTGATGCCTTTTGGATGAAATGTAGATGTTGAAACATCTACAAGATCCAAGAAAGTTCAGTCGCCTTTGTTCCAGGTCTTAGACTACCATGAACTGGACGACTGAGAATCCACAGTGACTATTTTTCATTTGCCCCCTCCACCACTAGGGCTCACTCTAACGATGAAAACCACGGCTGCTGTTTCTGATGATGTTCCCATAAGAGTGAAGTGGCTCCAACAGTTCCGCCACCTTCCCTTTACCTGCGAGCTACACACTGGAGATGGCCACATCTTTTATCTCCAAAGTCCTGAGGGGTGAGTAGCCATTCCATAGCCTGGATTTGTTTGCTACTTTTCACTAATCCAAACCAAAATCTACCCAAAAATCACACATGTAGAGCTTTTATACTTTTGCACTGGGTCCCATATACACAATTTCACTTCAACATCCACTTAATATACACATAAGTATATTAAGTAGTTACATAATCCACATAATGATTATCTTTGGTCTTTATTTCTGTTCCCTTTCACCCGTATTCACATCATTACAGCCCCCACAGACATCAGGTTCCCCTCATCCACGGAGCCTACCCAGTACGGGTGATGAGGGGAACTATCTGATTTGCTCATTTGTCCTCTATATACAATATACAGTATATCTATTTCATTTTTCACTTTCAATTAGAGTTTGGAGTCTCAGACATTTTGTTCACAAAGTGGATCCTCGGTTAAATAGTAAAGCTTCAGTGTTGAATCAGAGTGAGAATTTATGTACAACAAATATCAAGCTGAGTGAATAAATGTATTTAGGAAAGTAAGAAGGTAAGAAGAAAAATAAGGAGTATTTATTTCAACCAGGTCATATCAAGTTCTGATCAAACCGAGATGGATGTGAAGAAAGATTTTTATTTTCTTTCGTGTTTTGTTGATACATTCATATGTTTTAAAGTCCTTCTTGTAAACTTCATGTATTTAAAAATTTCTGTTCCACCTACGTGTTTCTAACTATCCATTTTCTCAGGCCGGAGAGCACTGTGGTGCACAGATACACTCATCATGGTGCATTCATGGTGTCTGCTCACTGCTCCAGCAGTGACACTCACGTTAAAGCCCAGAAAAGAATCTCCATTCAGGAACCTGTCACAGAGATCGGTGTAATCAAGTGTTATTCCAGGAACACGTCCTTTAGTGAAGCAAACTGCAAAGCCCTGTATGGAGGAGCATTTCAAATCCAAACGGAGGTAAAAGCAGGTGGGTACGAATGTGATTTCAGCATGGATAATTTCATTTTGCTCAATTTTCTTTATATGGTTATTTTCAATCTATCCACTGCTCAGCTAAATGTTTTAATTTGTTATTTTTGTTCTGCTTTAGGTACAAATGTGGTCTACAGAATCCAAAGAGGTGAGGAGTTGTTGGCTGGCATGTCCGTGGTCCAGGGAAGCATTTCCCAGAACATCACAGTGACTCCAAAAATGGTCCAGAAGCTCGGGTCAGGCTGCCACAAACTCACCCTCCACGCATCCAACATGGTCACTTTCCCAGAGGTGTCCAGAGATCTACAGGTAAACCAGCAACAAACAAGATCAGATGGATTCATCATCCTTCTCCAAAGAACGCAAAACTTTCTGGATGGCTCTTTATTTTTTTTTACATTTTTCAAAATTAAAATGTAACTTTTCATTAATTTTTTTAATTTATTGTTGTTAAGTTTTGGCATCTCCATAATCATCTTGCCTTAAAAGTTAAATTACTTTTACACACACAAACTTACCTTTTTACACGTGTTATGAACAAAGAAATGTATCTGTTCCATGACAAGAGGCTATTATGAATAGCCTCTATTATGAATTGTTTGTAAATATTGGATGATAATGAAGACAATCTTCTGATTTTTAAAACACATTTAAGCCTTTTAAGAAATATCTACAAAGAAGGGAAACTCTGACTGTCAGTATCTACTCATATTGATAATTGAATATTTATGTAGAATATTTAAGCCAAGTAATGCATGATTTAATTGCCGAATAAAGACTCACTTTTGGAAATTTAACTGCAAGAAATATGAAAATGAGAGTGAATTCTTCCCACTGCAGGTTTGCATTGTGGAGGAAATATCCGGGCTGCGGGCAGCTGTGGTCAGGGAAAGCTGTGTCCGTCCCCACGGCGCTCTGGGTGTGTCCCTGACCCGGGGAGCACCCGTCCAGCTCTTCTTCTCTCTCACGGGAGACCACGGCTCGTTCTCTGAGACCAAGCGAATGAATTCAAAGAGGAGGGTTTTTCACATCAGACACCCCATTCGAGGTATGGAAAAGGCCGACCAAATCCTGTGGTGTGGCGGGAACACTTTTCACATCATTGTGTTTGACTTTTTTTTGACACAGGTTCTAAGCAGGTGAAAGTCAGAGCATGGAATGAATTTTCCTCCATGGAAGTGGTCGTGGATGTACTTTCACTGTGTGGCAAAGATTTAGGAATCAAAGTAAAAGACGTTAGTGAGCATTTGTTGAGCCTGCCCAGGAACGAGAAAACGGTAAGTCAATTAAGTTTTTTTAATTTTAGCTGTGGTTGACTATAGATTACGTTGAATAATTTTCTTTTTTTTCTTTTTTAGAGAGAGCAACATGCTAGAGTTGCGAGATCTTTGTGGGAAATCAATGCAGATCCTTCAAATTCAGTCTCTAAAAAAGATGAAAAAATTACACTTTCAATAATTGAATCATCCATAACAGCCGATATGAAAAAATTTAAATGGGAAAGCAGTAAGTCTTAACCGGCCATGACAGGGGAAAAAAACAAACGTTATGAAAATGAGATAAAGCTTAATATGTGTATTTTGTAGATCCTCTTTATATGTAAGTTAAATATATTTTTACCATGTTTTTCACCTTGTTAACACAGTAAATGTCTTCCCTGTGATCTCATCTGGTGATTTTGAAAATTAGAGTCATTTGATAAAAAAACAGATAAAAAAACACGTCAAAATCAAATTGCAAATAATTTTTGTAAAGGTTAGGGGTTAAAAGAAAACATCTGCTTTTCACTAAATTGTTGTACAATGGAAATCAACAGGTACCAAGAAGTAGATAACCCTAACCCATAGATTGATATTTTCCAGATTGTGGTTACTTTGAATTCCATATCCAGTTAATTGAGACCATTTTTAAATCTATTTATTGATTACAGGTCAAACGTAATCCGTGTGTTATTATAAATATATACTCATTCTTTTCTATTTACTTGGGTTTGTGCACGACTCTGACTTTCTCATTGATTGTTTCAGCAAAGGGTGGTGGATGCAAGCCAAAATCCTCCACATCAACACTCATAATTGAAGCAAAGTGCCTACCAGACCCATTTCACTTTGAAGAATATTCTTTAAAATTGAATGATGATGACTCTGAATTAAAGTCCATATGTATCACTCTCACTCCAACATTATCCACATCATCTATGAGGTACATGAGATATGACTTTCTTGTTGTTGATTCCAAATGAATTTTAACTAAATACAGAAAAAGCTTTGATGTTAATCCCAATCTCTAAACATTTCTTACACCCCAGCCTTAAATGTAGTGAGGCCTGTGAACCAGTGGAGGATAAAAAGCATGCAGAAATCGTATTAGATTGTGAATCAGGCAGCTGTGAAGAAGTTGTGTGGTACATTAGAGACCCGTATGGTGAAGACGAATGGGAAGTAAGTCTGCCAAATGGACACGATACAATCTGACTTGTTGGGGTGTTAAACTTGTTTGGTGAGAAAAACCGAACTGACATTAAAACGTTTCTACTGTGCACGTGTACTTTTTGAAAGACGCAAGCAAAGGACTGCTACAAAAAGGCGGGGGAAACTCCACTGATCAAAAAACAGGATGGAAAGACTGAGTATCAAGTGAAACACCAAATTATTTCAGAGGCAAAATCCAAGGGTCAAGACATCACTGTGGTAGCAATTACTGGTATGTATGGTACTGGTATGGTATGCTTTGGTTGAGGGGGGGATTCTAAACAACAACTGAAGTGGACGAGTTTTAAACACGGCTTAATCTAATGCATTTTATGGTCTGCATTTCCTTTTTTCACTGAAGACTCTGATGAACCACAATACCTGGAATATGTTCTAAAAACATCATCCTCATCAAAGGACGGTGAAACTTCTACTACCAGTTCTTCACAAACAACAAACATGGTCACCGAAGAAAAACCAACCACGTCTGCCAATCCAGCCAAGGCCACAACGGGAACTGGTAGTACCACAGCTACTGGTACTGCTGGGACTGCTGGGACTGCTGGGACTACTGGTACTGCCTCAGTTCCTGCTGGTACTACTGGAACCACAGCTACAGAAGCCACCACCAGGAGTTTTGAAGGCCTCTCCTGTGTCATATCACCGTCTACTGGAACAGTCCTTGATGCTTTTAGTGTTACTTGCACTACTGAAGTTCCTTGTGGGAACTGTCAGTATTGCTTCAGGACAGAGGGTAGGTTATTCCCAACTGCCTCTAACTTTAGTAATATTAAAAAAATAAGCTATTTAATATCTTCCAAACGTACTGATCACATTTATTTTGTTGTTGAAACAATGGCAGATCAGCATCTGCTCTGTAGCGACACCGGTGAGGTAAAGGCCGTGTTCCTCCCGCTTGGAGACCTCTTTATCACAGCAACTGCAAAAAACAGCAGCTTTGCGATCAACACGACGCTAACTGCTCAGGTTTGTGTAAGACATAATGGGTTGACAACTAAGAGAGGGCAGAAGATATCGTCTTTTTTGTTTTCTCTCTTCCACAACCCACCGCTCCCAGGTTAGGGATTCCTCAGCGGGCTCAGAAACAATACAAAGTCTAACTGCGGCAGTCCAGAACGCTTCAGCTCTGCTCAAGAAAAATGGCCAACTGTCCGGGCAGCGCATGGGGCAGCTCATCACCTCTGTGGCCAACAAACTCAACGATCAATCTGTTGAGTCAACGGAACAAGAGAGGCTGAAGGTAACCCCAATACACATCATTTAAAACATAAAGTTAATGTTTAATTAATCTTTAAGTGGACAGTCAGCTGGGCTGAGCTACTTGTTACATGCTGCTGTAAAGGGAAAAAAGAGCAAATGAGATCATTGATGCAGTTCAATCCCTTTGTCCGTCAAAGCTTCGGGAATTGATGCTGCAGACAATGATAAACGCGATTCAAGAAGCTCTGGTCAGCACTCCAGTGGACGTTCAGGTGGTCGCCAGAGGACTGGAGGCTCTGGTCCAGAAAGGCTCCGAACTCACTTTACCTGCTCAGGTATTGTATAGATTGTTACCTTCACGAAAAAAAAGTTCTGACTAACAAGAATATTTGTGTGTATCTCAAACATCTGGCTCCAACTGTGGGTGTTACGTAAATGATGCATCCATCCATTTCTCTGGAGCATATCCTACCTATCATTGGATTCCCCCTGGACAGTACGCAGTCCATCACAGTGCAACACAGAGATGAACAACCACACACACACACACTCACTCCAATGGGCATTTTCAAGTTTTTATGGGAAATTATGTCATCATTAGACAGGAAGTAAAATATAGGGAAAAATGTCTTCTGCAGCACATTGACCGTAGTTATCTAAACCCACTGACGTCCACTTACATCCAACGTCACCATGGATATGCGTGGACCTGCATTATTAGACCAGACTGAGTGGATCTAAACTATTTTTTATGTTTTACTATAAATCTATTTGTTTGAAGAGAACTCCTCAGATTATCTGCAGATTTTAAATCCCACCGTTTTGTACCTTCTCCTATTTAGCAATAATCTCTTTTTAAAAAGTAGCTAAAACTCATTCTTTAAAGCTTGTTTTTGATTTACTTTTGTCTATGTTTTAGCGTTTTAGCCTTCAGTTTTGGTATTTATATGAATTGCAAATTAAATCAGACTTTCCTTCTATTGCACACAATTTCTCCACAAAATAGTTCCTAAATGCTGCTTATAATTTGATCCCCATCTCCAGGTTGAAGCCTCTACGTTACTGAACAATCTCAGCTTATCTCTCCTTCACATGAATCTCAGCAAAAGCGATGACAACAAGAAAGAAATACTTTCCTCGGTCAGCGTCATTCTGGCGGGGGTGGGCAGTATCCTGAGTTATTCTTCCAATGTGAGTCATTAGCTTTAAAGCCTTTTTAATACTGCATGTATTCTTTCAGTCTTCCAAGACGTCTACTCTTTTATTACATAGTTATACGTTGTATCTTTATAGATAATGACGTAATTTTTTGCATTACTGAGTCACACTGGCATTTTTGTGTATCATTTCTAAACACATTTTTAAAAATGTGTCATAACATTGATTTTCATTTTATGATAAAGGCATTTATGTATTTATTAAGTTTGTTTCCCATAAATGACTTTTAATGCAATGCTTTTGTAGAAAAATCTTGCAGGTCAAATGCTTACAATGTTACTTTTTGCATAATCTGGCAGCATTAGTTTTAGCAAAAACCTCATCCTACCCAACATTATCTAAAGTTGAAACTATACCATCAGTTCAGTTTAAAGCAACACTGCTTTGCTTTCTATGTTATAGACACACAGGTGACACAGCTGTTACACAATCAAGGATAAGTAGGCTGACTAGAGAGCATCATTATGCATTTTGTGAGGCTGTCAAGGCTACTTGACACAATTCACAAATACAGAAAAGTCAGATGTTTCACAAATAAAAAAAGAGTTTTCGTTGTGGCTGTAAAGTGAACTTTGAGAAATATCAGCAAAAATTTCATTGGGCTATAAGAAACAAATATAGTGTAATGTTAGTTATTACATTTTTAAAGTATTATTACCTTTGAATTGCATTAATAGCCGCATGTTTCTAGAGTTTTTATGTATTTATAAGGTATTTTTGGTATATTGTGTGTTATAACCAAAGACATCAGTGTTTGGTCTATTCCTGTGGTTAATGCTTTGCCTTTTGCAGAAAAACATCTCTGATGTTCTTCTTGGAACTCTCAGCAACACACAAAGCGCACTGCTAACACAGAAGGAGATCAATGAGGGGCCAACTATCGTCAATCAATCCCAAATTAGTATGCTTGTCAGTAGGTAGGTTTTAAGGTCATTTAAATTATTTTGTAGAAGAGTTATAGAGTTAACATTCAATTAATTTTAAATGAAATTTAAAGTCCTCTTCTTTTTAGATGTTTCGGTCAAAGACAAAAAAATGGAAGACCAGTGATCCTTTATATTGCACTTTCCTATTATGTCAGTATCAGTAAGTGGAAATTGACCAGCTTAGATATTCTGAACATGGCAAGCCTATAAAGCACTATACAGCACTGTGCCTGTCTAGTAATGATATTTTTATGTGGAAGTTGTAGAAATATTGTGTGGATGTCTGACAACAAACATTTAATATTGAAATCAAATCTGAAATGTAAAGAAACATCTTTGTAAACAGTGAACCCCATGTGTTTAGAATGTACCATGCCTGTTATTAACATTACCAGAAAAAGAAGGAATACATTTTCTGCTAGCGGTTGCTTTTCTTGTTTAGCAAAATAACCTCAACTTTCTTTTAATTGGTGAAGTAGTGATAATAGCCATTTTTTTCTACTTATCTCTTGTGAAAGTTGTATTGATGTTTGCATCTAGATATTGACCTCAAGAAGAATGGAAATGATTTAAATGAGATAAACATGCCCAATAACTTTCGCTCTTCTGTGACAGAGTGACAACTGAAAACTTACACAGGGAATCTCTGAGTGTTGCCAACAGTTCCCGACCTGCATTCTCTCTCCCAGAGCTTCCTCCCAACATGTTTTCCACGGAAAAATCAGTGGATATTCGGGTAAGTCGAATAGAGGCTTGAAGGGCTCCTTCGTTTGTCCATTTGTTGTGCACTTTTCCACCCATGCAGATCCTCTATAGATACTGAGCATGTTAAATCGATGCTTTCCACAATTTTCTGAAGTGTCTGACTTTCAATGAGGCTTAACCCTGCTTTGCTCTCCTTAAATACACTTCCAGATGCTGAGTTTGGATAAAAACCCATTTTCTTGGAATGAGAGAAGCAACATCAGCGGCCAAATAGGCGCTCTGTCGCTCACAACTAAAAATGGATCTGGTATCCCTGTGGAGAACTTAAGTGAAGATATTGAGGTCAGTGCAGCATCCCTGATTTGTTCCAAACTGTAAACACCTGTTCAACGCCAGCTCACTGTGAGAGCAAAATGCAGAGCCAAACACCCTCTTTTTAAAAAACACAGACTCTCCAGTTTGGCCACTATATGAAGCAAAAACCTAGTCTGACCATTTGAAGTGAAAAATAAACTGAATTTGACAGTGAAATTGACTGGGCTACCAAATACAGATTTTTTTTCCATGAGGTAAATACTTTGATTTTAAACAATGTTTATGCATGTAGTATATTGCTGAGAACTGTAAGTACAGTATATAGTTTAATTAGTCTTTGGAAATAGACAGAGTCACCTGACTGTCATGGACTTTTAGTTTTTAAATACCATGATTATCAAGTATTTGTCAGCATGAGTCCAGAACATTCATAGCAGTCTTGCTTTTTAAGGTCTCAGAGCTAATGCTGCAGGGCTAGAAGATCTTTCTTCTTTGAGCCAGGCCATAGAATTGAATAGGGTTGAGTTCATAGTTTTATTTTAATGAGTGATATTTGCTGTAGGAACTAACTTTAAGAGTAATATCAGAACAAGCCTAGGCCATCAAATCCAAAACAAAAAAAGAGAAACAGACAAAACACACACAGAGCATGACACAAGCTGCGAGGGTGTCATTTCCTATATGTTGTCAGTAATCTGCAAACTTTCACAGGATTTTATAGCATTATTAGTAGTTTGTTTAATTTCAAGAACAGTGGAGGAGTCCATAACACATGTTTATCTCTAATCATAATACATAATACATACTGACTCATTCCACTTTGTTTCTAAAGGTGTGCTGCATGTGCTCAGCATTAAAATATTAGTTTATTTGTGTGCTGCTGCCCAGTTTTTGATTTGTGAGCCATAAATTCTAACACTAGATTAAAAAAAGCAAGCTAGAAACACAAAGCATACATGAGAGCAGGCAGTTTGTTTAACCTAAATATGTTAACTCATTGATATCACTTAGAATTTAACTTCCTTTTGCAAGTATCATGGCAGAAACTGACGGTATATTTTACCCACCGAAAACTTTAATGCTATTCTATTAAAATGACCTCAACCAAACAATCCATCCAGTGATTTAGTAATTAAGGATTAGGTAACAAAAGGGATCCGGATCCAACTTAAAATGTATGCAAAGAATAATTGAAAATGATACAAATATAAAAATTCAAATAAAGATATTTAGAAATGTTCAAGTTAATCTTTATTCTTCTTCGGACATTGGACATTCTTGAAGCAACTTACATTTTTCATGAATGAATGAGCACAAGGTTTGTCTTTACATGGATTTGTTTTCTGGCCTTTCACTGGGAACACAGATTCTGTTGCCAAGGGATCCCGGAGAACCAGAGAGCTCCTCCGTTCTGGACCTGGGAAACTACAGCACCACGGTCATAGACGTCCCTTCAGCTGACACCACACTGGTGTTAAAGGTAGCTACATGTTAGTACAAAAGATAAACTTCCTTTGGACAGAAATGCTAATGTAAAGTAAAGTAAAGCAGGATATATGAACATAATCCTAGATGCTTAAATGTTTGCTCACGCTTTTTGTATGCTGATGTGCCTTTTAAATAATTTCCCCCTGGGATTATTAAAGTATTTCTGATTCTGATTGTGATTCTGATTAAAGCTGCTACCTTCAGTGGATCCTTTACCTTTCAAAGTCTTTCTCGGTCACATGGATTACCCCACACAGTCAAACTTTGTAGCAATGACACAGATGCCTCAGCAGGGACTCACACAAGGTAATAGATCTGCTAATGTTCTTATTGTCACGTCTGGGGGAATTTTTTGGTGTTTTTGTCCTGTCTCCATGGTTGTCTTGTCATTTCCTGTTTTATTTTGTAAGGTACATCTCTTTGTTTCAGGTCTCTGGTACTCTCCTGTGTGTCACATGTCTGTTTGTCTCCCCTGATCACCAATTGTGTTCACCTAGGGTTCCCTTCCCTTATTTTTAAATAGTCTGAGTCTCTCCTTGTCTGGTGCCGGTGGGTTTCGTCCTACGTCTTATGTCTTATACTGAGCTGAACCAAACCATAGATATCCTTGCTTTGCGCCTTGAACCTGTTTATTCCCTGTAAGAGTGATTTTGAAATCGTGTTTTGTAACTTTTGTCATCCTCTTTTCAGAGTGAGTTTATTTCGTACTGTGTTCATAGTTTTGTCTGCCTCGTTTTCCAGAGTTATTCTTATTCTGAACTTTGCCTTGCCTTTTCCACTCCCAGAGAGTACGCTTTTGTTTAATTAAAGTTTTTTTGCCAAGATCTCTGCATCTGAGTCCTGCCTTGAGTTCCATCCCTGTCACTTGAGGACAAGTGTTTTAGTTTTTTTTTTTTATACACCATGTTACAAAAAGTTAGTTTACTAATGAGTTGTGTATGTGTGTCTAACCCAGAGGAGAGGTACACGTGGCTGCTGGACCCGAAACTTTTAAAAGGAAACACTGGGCTGCATTATCTGGTGGTGAGGCCGATTGTGGGTCCTGGTGTCAAATCCATCAACGCCAGTTTATCTGTTTCCTCCATCACTTCTTCATGTAAATTTTGGAATGAAACACAATTGGACTGGAGCGATTCTGGATGCAGAGTAAGTACTTTGGTCCGCCTCTGATGTGTAGTTCGTTGTCCACTTCCATGACGGTGAATCTTGTGGTTAAAGGTTGGTGTGAAGAGCACTCATCTGGTCACCCAGTGCCTCTGCAACCACCTCACCTTCTTTGGGAGCTCCTTCTTTGTCACCCCGAACCTCGTGGATCCATCACGCACCGCTGAGCTGTTCGCCAACTTTGCTGAGAATCCGGTGGTTGTTTGCTTTGTGGGGGCGCTCTTTGTTGCTTTTCTGTTGGTGGTTGTGTGGGCACGAAGGAAAGACATCCAAGACAAAGTCAAGGTAAAGTCTTTCTCCAGCAGTGCTCATTGGAGTGGAAAAAAATTACATACATGATTTTCCAATAACATTACTCTTTTAATTAATTATGTACATTTGATTAAAAAGAAATTTTTCTCTTCACGGTTAATTCAGTCTACTATTCATAGAATATTATCACATATGAAAACCTACATTAGCTGCTAATAACTAAACAATCATTTTTACCAAACTTATTCTGACAAAATTTCCATAAATAAGATTTATTTTTTTAACTTTAATTTTAATTTTTTAATTTTTATTTTTTTATTTTTTTTATTTTTAATTTTTAATTTTATTTATTTATTTAATTAATTTATTTTTTTTAAATAAAATGTCTATACAAATCCGTTCCCAAAAGGTTTCTATAGATTTCTTTTGTCTGTATCCCTGTACACACTGGTGGTTCTAGATCTTCTGTCTTAATGAGTCTTTGGACTTTTAATGATGGAATACTGAATGTTTTTGCCTAAAAAAAACAAACAAAAAACATTTCATTCCATTTTCTGCCACTGTAAACAACCAGAAACTGCAAGCCACATTTACATGATTGTTTTGGGATTGGGTTTATTGATTATCCTGTTTTCATTTGCACCCCCCCCGCCCCCCCTTTATGTGCAGGTGAAGGTGACAGTACTGGAAGACAATGACCCAATGGAGAGGTACTGCTATTTGCTGAGTGTCAGCACTGGGCATCGAATAGGAGCCTCTACCTCCGCTAAGGTCAGACTACACACATTAACCACACTGACATTACACAGCCTGTTTCATTCTTCCAAAAAAGCCAGAATCTTATATAGTGGCAGCTCCGGACTAAATGTAGTTTAAAGCTAAATGTAGTTCTCTCAGGAAAGACTGGTTCATAAACTCACACAAAGAGTAAAAAACAAAAAAAAAGTCAACCACTTGTTGACATGCATTCATTCATGAGGGGAACCTGGCACCCACCACTTACAGCACAAAGGACCAGTCCCACTGAAGACCCTCCACGAGCCTCTGCCTGGATACAGGGAAAGGGGAGCTTTATACAAAAAATTTAAAAAGTTAAAAGCTCTGGGAAGACCTATAAAAAGGAAATCAGAAACTAAAATTAACAAACCAATGCATGGATGCATCCTAGTTGTGCTCCATCATTTAGGGCAGGCTCAATTCATCCAGCTAAACTAAAAAGGTTGAAATGTGGACTGCCTTTCCTGTGATCATCCATTTGGTGATTGCATTCCTAATGAGGAGTGGCATCTCCTCTCTGTTTCAGTTTGATGATCTGCTGATTGATGAATCTATTTCAAGTTTCTATTTGGATAAAGCCACGAGAGTCTTAAAGCAATTTCCATAGACAACTCGATACCCTGAAAACCTTGAAACCGTGAGAGCTCAGAAGTACGTGGTCTCAACTGGATGTGAATAAACTAACAAAACTAAAACTAACATCCAAAAACACAGATCCTGGCACAGCTCTCCTGGAGGGGCTTGTCCTCCTTAAAACACACACACGTGAAATTTCTTATACTAATTACACTAAATGAGCCAGAGATGGATGCATTTGAGCAAATGACTGGCTGTGCAGCTAAGCATTTGCAGGCACTATAAAAATGATGATGATTGATTCCCCTAAAGCAGAAGAAGGCTAAAAGAAGCCTGAAAATTGTTTTTAGATCGTACTTTTCACAGTATGCATTCCAATTAAGAGGAAACTCTAAGTGGGAACGGAAAATGCTGCGTGGGTAGCTTGAAAAAATGTAAAGATGAAATATAAAAATATGAGTTTTTGAGAAAATTGCCAGAAAATCAAAACTCTTTTTTCTTAAAGGAGATTTGTGGGTTGTTGATGAAAACCTTACCGTGCCCTCACCCTAAAGATCAGCATCTTTAGACATTTTGAGACAAATATTGTACTCTGGAGACCTCACAAAACTACAGAAAATATATTTTACTTTCAGCTGAACGCCTTATAAATATCAAAGGCTTAATGACTGTCTAAAGGATCCAGAGTGGTGGAAAGTTTGAGTGGGTTGCCCAAACTTTCACATGTCCATATATCATCTCATTTCAGTGCCAACAGCCCACACCATGAACAGATACTTAATTAGATTTTCTATTATTATTTTCAGCAGAAAATGAATTTTGCTGGCATTTTCAATATATGAATATATTTTCAATGTATGAAATATTTCAAATATTATACAAAAGACCTGTTTAGACCTGCTAACATTTGGTTTTCATTGACATTTAGTCCTGTGCAAAATGATTGGCAGTAGCCATTCAATATATTTTTTAAGAGATAGGCTGCAAGAGAGATAACAGTATTTTTTTTATTCTATAGAAACACGTTTTCAGGATCTTGTGTAGTGGTTCAAAAAACATTTTTTGGCTTATTTACAGAAATGTTTCATGGGTATCGAGTTCACTACTGGCCTTTCTCCTTGAGACTTTATTAAGCCTAAAATAACAAATCCCCCCAATTACGGTATCTCAGAAACATGTGACTGTCAGAAACTGAGTCAAACACATTCTGCAGGTCAGAAAGTGTCATTTCTACTCAGGTGAAAGTTTACCGGATTCTTCCCAAAAAACGGTGGTAATTACTGAACCCAACTCCAGTTCTTTGGACGCTTTCTTCGGCTTTAACAGAGGTTCAAGCATTTTAAAACATGGTTTCGCGTTTTCATTTTGGCGTTTAACCGTTTCAGGTTGTGGTCACTCTTCTGGGATCACGGCAAAACAGCGAACCCCATCACCTGACCGACCAAAAGAAACACTTATTTGAGAGGGGTGCGGTGGATTTGTTTCTTCTAACAACCCCATTCTCACTTGGAGAGCTTCAGGGAATCAGACTGTGGCACGACAACTCAGGGAGTCATCCTGCCTGGTAGGAAAACATACAATTACTAGAGATTCACATACATAAATTGAGTAAAAATGATGATAATCATAATAGAATAACTGGAATTTCAGTGTCGAATCAAAGTAAATTTGGACATAAATGCATAAAAGTAAAAGCAAGTCTTTGGACATTCTCAGGTATGTTGGGAACATCATGGTGAAGGATTTACAGACGGAGGAGAAATGGCATTTTCTCTGCAACTCCTGGCTGGCGATAGACCTGGGCGACTGCTGCCTCGATAAAGTCTTTCCTGCTTCAACAGAAACGGACTTGAAGAGCTTCAGGTACGGTATAAATATGGTCATTCTTGCAAATGCAAGCACACCACTGAAGTCTGCAGGAAGAATGGAAAAGCCAGACTATGATTTTTTTATTTAAATTTGAATGACAAAAATTACAAATCAAATGCAAATAAGAGGCCTTGGTTTCATTTTGATTTCAGCTGAACTGGTAACAGGTTTAGGGCAAGATGGAACAAAAAAAATCAAGTTTTATAACCCTATTACACCAATGCTGAACCAATCAGTGCTTTATTCACTCTTGTGAATCCAATATTTTTCTGTTTGGGAGAATTAGGGCCTGAGCCACAGAGCTAATGGCTAAACGGGGGCCAGCTGGCTCACTGGACTCTGTCCAGGGCAGAGAAGCTATTGCAGAAAAATGGAAAATACCATGGCAGCTGACATGGCTGTTCAAACTTGCTTTGTCTTGATAATAAACAGCTGAAACTGTTTCCTCCAAATATTCAGCGTAAACACTGATTTACAGAGTATTATCTGCTTTCTGTCAGACGATTCCAAACTACACAACACAGAAAAAGACAAAAGAACAACGCAAATATCTAACTGGGAAAGCATGAATATTCCAAAACATTATTTTTATTTTTTTTATTTTTTGCTCTTACTGTTTTTAATCTTTGAGTTTGTCTTGTGTGGAGGTGATAATTGTGTTTTATGATTCGCTCAAATGGCCTGTACAGCGCTTTGATTTTAGCTTTGGCTGACTGAAAGCGCTTTATAAATAAAGTTGAGTTGAGTTGAGTTATTTAAAAAATGCTGTTTTAATTTTCCAGCAATTTGTTCAGCATGAAGACAACAAAGGACTTTAGTGACGGACACCTTTGGTACTCGGTCATCGGTCGTCCGGCCAACAGCTCCTTCACCTGTGTCCAGCGGGTGTCCTGCTGTTTCTCCCTGCTGCTCTGCACCATGTTGACCAGCATCATGTTTTACGGGATCCCAGAGGATCCCTCTGACCAGGTCATGGACTTGGGTAAGCTACAGGTCACTAACGGCTGATCATGCTCTACTGGACGACGGCTCACCCCCTCTCTCTTTTATTTCAGGTCACTTTGAATTTACGTGGCAGCAGTTCATGATCGGCGTGCAGAGTTCCCTCATCATGTTCCCAGTGAACATCCTCATAGTGGCTGTGTTCAGAAACACTCGGCCACGGGAGACGCCTTGTTGTCAGAGACAAACCGAGAAAACAAACCAAGGGAAGCAAATCGCTCTTCAGGAGGAAAACGCTTTGCAGATAGTTCCCCCGAAGACGGAAAAAAACAACCTTCCATGCGCTGGGTTTGAAGTAGCTGATATAAATGCTCTTCTATCCAAGGTGGAAGCCTTCCTAAAAGAAAAAGATGAAACCAGTAATGAAACCAAGTCTCCTCTCCCAGGTGTGATCTGCTGTGAGGTGTCATTTCTTTTTCAGAGGCTCATGCTTTTTGAAAAGATAAAAAACCCTCAAATTCTAACTTATATACCCACTGCGGAATATTAATACAAGTTGAAGGGAAATAAAATATACTTCCACTTGGGTTCTCAGTATTTCATGCACAATTTCAACATTTTAGACTCAAATAAGTAGGGATTAAATTGAGAAAGAATCACTGAAAGGATGTCACATTAAAGTTCAAATTCTGATGCATAATCAAGTCAGAAATGGAACTATTCTTTCTGAACAACTGACTTTTGGGATGCGTCTGAAAATAAGAGACTTACTATGAAAAACCGCTTCAATATAAGTAAATTCCATGAAAATATCTTTACACAAAATATCGAAAAATGGGCAGAACTTGGTCCTCTTTACAAAAACGTATTTTTCTCCAGTCCTATATGAGCAGAGATGTGACCAGACTTGTGTCTTTCATAAAGTTGAGATTGCACTGGTCAATTAATAGAGCACAGACACTTTCTCTCTTACCAACTATTGCATCTATCTATCCAGATATCTAGATCTCCAAAGCTAGTCTGTTGTTTGTCCTGAACATGGACAGTTTTATACAAACAAAAGTGTAAAACAGTTTTACAAAGACACGTTTGCTCAGAAAGAGGAACGTGAAATAAAAACATGTCTGACCTCTGTATATTTTGCATGCAGCATCGACACCGGAGGGGATTCCAGCAGACAGCTATGAGATCCAGTACCTGCACAGGCAGCTGTGTCACACTGAGAAGGAGCTGGCGTCCAGCTCAGCTGACCCTCACAGTCACCAGGCCCTGCAGAAGGTCCGGCACATGAAGAGCTCCCTCCAGGCTCGCCTCATCCCGTCTGGCTCCACTCACCTCCATGAACCTTTGTATGACAAGTACGAAACACACCCATTCACCACAAGAACAGTATTTTCTGGAATTTACACACAGTTCTTTTCATCTGATTTCATCTTATTTAATGAAATAATATAATATTGACATATGAATGTAAGATTTTGTATTCATTTATTCATTTATTCATTTTCTCAGACAACAGTTCTTTACTGTGCCAAATCAATCAGAATCAGAATCAGAAATACTTTAATAATCCCAGAGGGAAATCATTTTTGTTACTAGCTCCATAAATAAAACAACGGCATACTGTATACACAAAATTCCACATAGAATATAGATAAATATATACATAAATAACAATCAATGACCAATCTGTGCTACATTTACACTTAACATGTCATATGGACACTAAATGATTATTGTAGTAACTATAAATATTAATGATTGTCTGATAAAAACTAGACTAATCCTGAGGAAATTATTACTTTGTATCATCCTTCAGTTACAGGTCGGTTCCAGCAGATGGCGCTGCTACTGCTGGTGGTCAGAAAAGAAAAGTGTGCTGTTCTGGGATGCTACCCTGGTGGTTCATCTTCGTTGGCTGGCTCCTGGTGATTGGCACCAGTTGCGTGTCGGGATACTTCATCATGCTGTACGGGCTGAAATTTGGAAAGGAGCGCTCCATAAGCTGGTTGGTGTCCACCATTGTCTCCTTCTTCCAGAGTATTCTCCTCATTCAGCCACTGAAGGTGAGGTGATTTGTCCTCCACAACCACACAGCATGACCAATAGAGACATGACAATGTTGTTAAATCTTTTCTTAAATGTGAGGTGTCATAACGGTCATAGTTGTTTGAGCTGACAGACAAATTTGTTGTAATGTGGCTCTTCATAAGTAAAATGTGAAATGTTTTTTAATCTTGATGTGTTTAATGTTCTAGCTTTTACTACTCTTGATGTACTTTGAAATTTTTCTACAGGTGGTGGGTCTCGCAGTCTTCTTCGCACTGGTAATAAAAAAAGTTGATGATGAAGATTTACAAAATGTCACGTTTGAAAGCATGAACAAAAATCAAGGTACGGTTCAAATGCACCCAACATACGTTGTGTTTTCCCAAATAACGAGCTGCATCTAACATCATCCCCAGGTCATTTTGGGAACGTACAGATGAGCAGGCGAGATGTTGGTCTGTACGAGCCGCCTCCGTCTGCAGATGTCCAGATAATGAAAAGGAATAGGGTTTTGGAGCAGAGGGCTTTTGGACTCCTCAGGGAGATTCTGGGTGAGTGTGCATTCTTATTTTGTATTATTTAGCTTTTACCATGGAACATTTGGAGGCTAAAAAGACTATTTACAATGTTGTGAAATCGATAAGAAAGATTTAATTGATTTAAAAAAAAGAAATGAAACATTTCTTATGACCGTAAACCTATTTTTTCCAATATAAATCTGTTCCCCTCGCACTGTAATGATATAAGAACCTTAATACTAAAGCATGGAAAACTGATTTGTTGTTTATTAACTACCATAAATATGAGAGGGACTCCTGTGTTCTGCAGTGAGGGATAAGACACAATAACAAATACAACTTGAAGCAGCACAAAATTGGGCAGTTAAAATAATAGATGACTAAGACAAATGACTGGAAGTCCAGTTCATTTTAGGAGATATATTACTTTCAGAAGCGAAACCATCATGCTTTGTCACTAAAACTTAAAAGATTGCAAGTTGATCAAGTACAGGTTGTATTTAAGAGGACATTACCATTCAGGATACCATGGATTAATAAAGGCTAGAGCAGATCTGAATAAAATCATTTAATTTCTTCTTGGACTTGTTTGGATTGCATTGCTGAACTTCTGTGGCTTCATTGAGTTAATGTGTGTCTGTGTGTGTGTGTGTGTGTGTGTGTGTGTGTGTGTGTGTGTGTGTGT